TATATATATATATATATATATTCTTTTTTTTTCCGCCTTGCATTTTCTACATACCTCTTGTGTCGTTCTTCAATTTTGTTTTCCATCAGAGCGGCCCTCATTGCCATTTATATATAGCGCCAAATCAAAAGTTACCAAAGATGAAGATGAAGATGATCGTGAGAACATTTTTAGAATGAAGAAAGAAGAAAATGTTGGGGTAGTAGAAAATGATGTATTATGTTAGTATTTATTGTGTTTTGTATTTGAAAAAAAAATTAAAAAATAGTAGTTGTTAATCGGTTGGTCAAAGAGTTCAAAAAGGAGAGAGACTCTGAAGAAGGGTGCCGACTCGGGATTCTCACCTTGGCAAACCGAGCTTGGGAGGCAGAGAAAGAAGGCAATACCGTCGCCGGAGTCGAAGCTACTGGCCGGAAACTGATGCTAGAATCGTCGGAAATCGAAGCACTGTCGACAGAAATGGATTAGTTGGTGGTGGAGGGATGTCGGGGAAGCTCCAAACTGAAAAAAGGCCGAAAATTCGTCGGAGGAATCGAAAAATCATCGGTATATGTCGGAGATTTCGTTTGGGAAAATAGTTGCGTAGAGTATCTGATCTGGGACGAAGGGGACAAAAGGTGAGAACCTTTTGCGGTGACGCCTTTAGCAGCGACAAATGACCAATAGCGGCGACAAGTTGGAAGGAATCCATGGCGCCATTTTCTGGTGATTTTTGACCCTCAGGTATGCTCAATAATGTAGGGCCAAGAATGCTTCTTAAGACTGTGACACGGATCGTTAGTATTAGCGGCGACGGCATCGCCGCCAAAGGCGTCGTCCCTAATAACTGCGCGAGAAGCAATCTTGAATGTTGGATCTTGTGGGAAATGTATGGCCACAATTGAGTGTAGCGTACGTTTGTCCGATCGTCGGTTTCTATCATTAGGGACGACACTATTAGCGGCGACGCTCCACCAATAGCGATGACAGTCCCGTGTTTGTTTGATGTCGTCCCAAATGTTTCCTGTCGTCGCAAATAATGTCATCCCTAATGGTCGTTTTTCTTGTAGTGAGTACGCCGTTGGCGTGCCACTCCGCTAACCTAATAACCTAATAGATGGTAATTTCATAAAATAATAAACATGCAATACAAAATATGAAAGTGTGCGTAAAAAAGGAAAATACATGTTGATCATGTACCACTACTTAATGCAACACTTCTAGAAGTGTTGCATCACGCATAAAATAGTTTGACATGCATGTTGGTTTAGGAGTATATTGATGATACCTAAAAAATTATCCAAGCATGTCACTTGTAAGACTTGCATAGCCGTCAAAATTTTTGAAGCATTTTCTAATTTTTTGGCGTTTACTCGTCCTTCTACTTTAATCACTCATGGTTAGTGGAAATCTACTAAAATTTTGGCACTTCTATCGTGATGAGTCATATGGATTAATTCTCATTGTTAGGTTAAAAGCGCTAAACGAAAGAACAAGCGTTGTTGTTGACGAAATGATGCACCAAAGCATTGACTTAATTTTGGTTAATCAAGTTTATCAAGTGACATTGTGGTCCTGGTCCGGTCCTCTGGATTATCTCTATAAGTCTATTTTACCCTTGCCATTCTAATTTCAAAAAATGAGAAGAATATATATATTTGAACTTCTAAGGTATTATGGTTTAAAGAAAACAAAATATGACCAAAACCAAATGATTATGCCTAGACCAGCTTTGTTTATACATTAAAGTATTTTGCACATAGCTTCTATTGAAAGATCTCTCCCTTGAAGCTCTCCTTTCAATACACACATACGCACACTTCCCTTTATAAAAGTCTCCTGCATATCATTAGAGATTTTCTAGAGAGAGAAATAATGGAGCTTGCTCTAAGCTTAGGAGATGCGCCAAAAACAATCTCGGTTGCCGATCAAAGCAGATCACAGCAGCAGAAGGTCAAGGAATTAGGGTTTTGCATGAACGTAGGAAGCAGCAGCGCTAGCATTAAGACTCCAGATCATGATCAGTATAAGAACTTCAGTGAGAAAAACGATGATGATAAAACAAACTGTTCTTCATCATCGTCGGATCAACCACCTCTTCAGCTTGATCTCCTCCCTTTCTCACCAGCTCTCAACCAATCTCCACCACCACCACCTTCTGGCGGCCGTCCTTTTCCATGGCCGTCTCAAATTTGTAAATTCCACTTTCTCCCTACTTTTTTGTGTTCGATCCTATCCAGTGTTAATTATCTACAAACATTTCATGATTTCTTAATTTAATTTTCAAAAAGAATTAGTTTGCTTATTTAGGTAATTAAGCACAACCACAAGATCATATATACAATATATAAATTCCCATTTTTTCCCAAAATCAAAAAAAAAAATACAGGGTTGTTATTAATCCCCCCCCCCCCCCCCCCCCGGGGTGTCCAAGCAAATTACAGAAAACAATCGATCGCTTAATCCCCCACCATATGGTATAAAAAGATGGATGTCTTTATTCTTTTTCTCAAAAAGTGCTATTTTTTATGAATCTTGTTACATCAACACAAAAACCGGTTTTTTATTTGTTGCTTTTGAAGAGTTGATTTATATTTGACTATATGTGGTTTCTACTCTCATCTTCGAATATCAATGTCATGGAAGGCAATATATATGCGTAGCTAAAATTTAACAGTTATATTTGACACATTCATATTTTACTACCCTTCAAATTTTTCAAAAATTTTCAGGTTTTTTATGATACCTCCCTTAATAATATGCGTAGCTAAACTTTAACAGTTATATCAGACCCAGATTCGAAAACTAAACGAGGAAAAGGGCTGGATGTGAAGCCAATAACAGCAGTATATGATCCAGACAATGGTGAAGAACCCGCGACCCTTCAGTCTTCTCCTACGGACAGTAACAGTGATACATCATCATTTCAAATGGATTTCTCTTCCATTTTCAGGAGCAGCACTGGTAGCAGTAGATTGCCATTAAAGAATAGGGATTTGGAATTAGTAACGGGGAATATGGATTATTTAGTGGGAGTTTCAGAAAGAGATCATCAACGAGTTTCTTCAAGACGAGGAGGGTATGTTGGAACTAGTGATGAAGATGAAAATGGGTTGGGCAGAAAGAAACTCCGACTCACTAAAGAACAGTCTGCTTTTCTTGAAGAAAGCTTCAAAGAACACAATACCCTCAACCCTGTAAGTCTCTTTTTCATTCATAAGATGACGGAAATAGATCTATACTTGAACTCATGTTGAACCCATTCACTCTCCTGTAAAATTGTAAAAGGTGATTATTGTGCAACTACGTAGGATCATAGAAAGAACCTAATAGTATTTTCGTCTCTAGCTAATCAAGAAGGTCTATGCAAGTGAACTATGAGTAATTAATGAAGAACCCTCTCCTTTCCAATTAAACATATAATACCTTAAAATTTCATGCATCCAACATCACAAAAAGCTCCCTAAGCTTAAGTCATATTTAGAGAGAAAGAACGTATATATGTTTGAACTCATATACATCCTATCACATACACCAACTTCTAACTAGGGTTGTTAAAATTTGATATTTGATACCATTTCGTCAAAGAAGTAGTCGTATGCATCTGCCAATCATATCATATAAGAGGTTGTCATTGAACAACAGACCTTAAACAAAGAATGTACATATATTAAATGTAATCCGTAGCTTAATTCCCGCTAGCTTTCTTATTAATCAATTTCTTGATGTTCAATATAAAAAACAAAGAATGTATATATATTCTTATCTGTATATATATTATTCTCTCTTCTAAAACCCACACGCATATAGATACTCATTCATAGTCGAATCACTCATTAGGGATAATATTATTTTCCAATATGCATCTGCATTGCTTAATTAGACATTCTTGGAAAAAATAGGGTTCCCCCAATCTCAGTTAAGTTTTATTAAAATTTATATATATTATAGGTTGGAATTCCCAAAATGAAAAAAGTAATCCATAATTGCAGGAACTTCGTTTTATTGTTTACACTTGCATGTTCTTGTACCGATTATTAATGCCTTTGTTTAATTACAAATTATTTTTGCAGAAACAAAAGCTAGTTCTAGCAAGCCAGCTGAATCTTCGTCCAAGACAAGTTGAAGTGTGGTTTCAAAACAGAAGAGCAAGGTATAATTAATTATATTAACAATAAATTACTAACATTAATTAATACTAACAGTAACTGCCCAGTAATCAGTTTGTTATGTAGTGGGTATACGTACTTTCTTATGATATTGATGAGTTGATCATTTCGTGCAAATCATTTGCTGAGTAATCACCAGGACTTGAAAACATTTCGTCCATTAATGTAGTTTAATTAACCCTGGTGATTCTTAAAAATTTATAAGAATATTAACCCAGTACTACTTATTATTGAACGGGAAACAATTTGAAGTAATTGATTTAATTAATGATCCCAGAACAAAGCTGAAGCAGACTGAGGTGGATTGTGAGTATCTAAAGACATGCTGTGAAACATTGACAGAAGAAAACAGGAGATTGCAAAAGGAGCTTCAAGAATTAAGAGCCTTAAAGACTTCCCAGCCTTTTTACATGCAACATCCTGCTACCACCCTCACCATGTGTCCTTCCTGTGAGCGAGTCGTCACCACCACTTCTACAACAACTCCAGCCAGCAAGCCCACCACCACCACCACAGTCCTCCAACAAACCACCAGTGACTGCCCATCACACTAGCTAGTAGCAAAACATCATAGATCGCGATGCATTGATGTCATTATCTTCTGCGAAGTCTTCTGGCTGGTGGGAATCTGATTAACTGAAGAACGTGGGAACAATATACAGCAAACAGTTTGAACCTGGTCGGAAGTCTTATGGCGATGCATTGTTGATTGATGTACGTCTTTTGTTGTTTGTCTAGTTTTAGGGGCTATTTTAATTATGCAATTGGAGGACTATGGTTTGACCAAGAATGATATAGAAGAAGAAATTAAAGGTGTCTTTTTCTTTTGTTTAACGTTACTTTATCTTTTTGTCGGTATGCTGGTCTGTCACATATTCATTATTTACGTTTCTTTTTCATATTCTTTCTATAAATTGATCTCACGTAACATTTATAAAGCTCGGCATGCCTTTTCATGCAAGGGTTTGTAACGCAGCTATCTTAAACCACTACCTGCTAGCTAGTTACTGGAGCTACTTGATATATTGTTTCAAAGTTGCTAATGTGACCACCTTTGTAGTGTTATTTCTAATCTCTCTCTCCATTGTTTCACAATGTAAAACAGTATAGACATCATTTGGGTTGTGGTAACGAAAAAGCGTTGGGCCCGGAGTCACGCTCGCATTTATCAAAAGACTTTGGGACGTTATTTGTATGGAGATCTTGGTGATTATCGATTATCATTCCAGGGAGTAATGCATTTTTCATCACCCTAGTTTCGAAATCAGTGACCCATTAATTGTACGGACTTTAGACGTATTAATCTGATTGGGTGTGTTACTAAATTTATTACTAAAATGCTCACAAATAGACTTAAAAAGGTTTTTTTTTTTTTTTTTTTTTGAAACAGCAAACTATCTTAAACATACTCTTAACTATCGTCTATGTCTCTTTAGAGACTTGAACTCATGACCTCTCATTTGAGATGATCACTCTTTAAAGAGGTTATTATAGTTAGGAGAAATCAATCTTCATAAGTTGTAGGACTATATTGGATGAAAATTAGTCGTTAACGAACTCATCAATTGGGATAAAAAGAGAAAAAAAAAATATTTCTTATATTTAAGGTGGATTTTGAGAAGGCCTTCTATAGTGTTAATTGAAACTTTGTGGACGACAAGATTCTGGGGTTTAGCATGAAATAGAGGAATTAGGTTCGGTCTTTCCTCTCATCGGCTAGGGTTTCGGTAAGTCCCTTACCGAACAATTCTCCATGGAAAGAAAGATGCGACAAGGTTACACATATCATCATTCTTTTTCATATTTGATACCGGGGGGAGGGGGGATTAGCAATTTTTTAGGCTCTAGGGATTCAGCGTAAAAAAATAGTGGCCCCTTATCCCCATCTATCAATATGTTGACAGTGTTATTTTCTTGGCGAATGGTCGGAAGATAATAAATGGAATCTCATTTTTATATTGAGGTGTTTTACCTTATTTACGGGCTAAGGCCCTGTTTGATAAGTGTCTTTCCAGCCCCAAAAAGATCTTTTCGGCTGAATGGGCCGAAAAGACCGTTTGATTTACACAAAAAACTTCGTCTTTCCAGGTAAGATTGGGCTTTCCCACAAAGCCACAAAAAGAAGTCTGAATGGAAAAAAAGAACGCATTGGACATTTGTGCCCTAACAAAAAAAACGCATACATCCGTCGCTGCAATCTTCGATCACCCCATCATCGGCTCTACCCACCTTCCATCGCCTCCATCTTTCGTCGCCGGCCAACCTCCTCCCGCCAAGCAGCCCACCGCCGCCCCACAGGTTTCATCTTCTCCTTTTGTCGATCCATCAACAAGTTTCTCATCTTTTTTTTTCTTTTTTTCGATCCATCAGCAAGGGTTTTCAATTAAGCTTTCTTTTTTCCTGATTTCGAAATTATGAGTGAAATCAAAATCAAAACATGTTTCTGTGAACAAGTTTTTTTTTCTAGAATTTCTTATTTTTCAAAATTTGTGCATTATACTTGTTTTTGTGGTTGAAATCAAAATTAGAACATGTTTTTGTGGTTATTGAAGCATACATTCATGTTGTGGTTATTAGAACATGCTGATTTTTGTTCAAATATGCTGATTTTTTTGAACAATATGCTGTTTTTTGTGAACATATATGATGTTTTGTGAACATAAATGTTGTTTTGTGAACATAATTGCTGAACTAATGAATATATATGCTGTTTTTTGTGTATATATGTGTAAAATTTTGATTGTAAATGCTGTTTTTTGTATATACATGTAGAATTTTAGTTATAAATGTGCTGTTTTTTTTTTACCATACATGCTGAAATTATGAACATATATGTTGTTTTTTTGTATATACATGCAGAAATTTGGTTATATATATGTTGTTTTTTGTACACATATGCTGAATTTTGGTTATACATGCTGTTTTTTGTTTATACAAGCTGAATTTTGGTTATATATGTTGTTTTTTTAATATA